AGTTAATTAATTGGTTAGAAATATCAGTAGTAATCAAAAACTAATCATAAGTATGCGAATATTTTATATAATACAATCTATTTGAAGTAAATTTAAAAAAGAATTAAATTTTTTTTTATTATTAAAAAAGCAAATGTAAAATTTAAAAAAAAAATTTATATCATTAATATTTAACTATTACTAACAAGATTATCATTATCATTGTTTGTTATCATTATTATCATAGCTATTATTATCTTATTATTATTGCTACTATTATTGGTATTATTATTGTTTAAAATTTTTCATGAGGAAAAATTAATTTCAATATTTGAATTTAAAAATTTTCTCAATTTGATGACTAGGAAAAAGTAGGAAAAAAAATTAAAAGGTTAAGAAGAAAGTTAATTTTATTAATTAAAGGAAAGCTCAGAAATAGTTTTTTTATTAAGAAATAAACATTGCATAGAAATGTTGCAGCTACAATAACGTTGCAGCTACAATGAAAAGTGCAATAATGTTGCGACTACAATAACAGCACATGAAAAGTGCAAAATAGTGATGCAACCACAATAACAATACATTAAAAGTTCAATAATGGTGTTGCAACTACAACAAGATCACATGAAAAGTGCAATAATAGTGTTGCAACTACAACAAGATCACACAAAGAGTGCAATAATAGTGTTGCAACTACAATAAGATCACATAAAAAGTGCAATAATAGTGCTGCAGCTACAATAAGATCACATGAAAAGTGTAACAATAGTGTTGCAACTACAATAAGATCACATGAAAAGTGTAACAATAGTGTTGCAACTACAATAAGATCACATGAAAAGTGTAACAATAGTGTTGCAACTACAATAAGATCACATGAAAAGTGTAACAATAGTGTTGCAACTACAATAAGATCACATGAAAAGTGTAACAATAGTGTTGCAACTACAATAAGACCACATGAAAAGTGTAACAATAGTGTTGCAACTACAATAAGATCACATGAAAAGTGTAACAATAGTGTTGCAACTACAATAAGATCACGCGAAAAATGTAACAATAGTGTTGCAACTACAATAAGATCACGCGAAAAGTGTAACAATAGTGTTGCAACTACAATAAGATCACATGAAAAGTGTAACAATAGTGTTGCAACTACAATAAGATCAAGCGAAATGTGTAACAATAGTGTTGCAACTACAATAAGATCACGCGAAAAGTGTAACAATAGTGTTGCAACTACAATAAGATCACATGAAAAGTGTAACAATAGTGTTGCAACTACAATAAGATCACGCGAAAAATGTAACAATAGTGTTGCAACTACAATAAGATCACGCGAAAAGTGTAACAATAGTGTTGCAACTACAATAAGATCACATGAAAAGTGTAACAATAGTGCTGCAACTACAATAAGATCACGTGAAAAGTGTAACAATAGTGTTGCAACTACAATAAGATCACGCGAAAAGTGTAACAATAGTGTTGCAACTACAATAAGATCACGCGAAAAGTGTAACAATAGTGTTGCAACTACAATAAGATCACGTGAAAAGTGTAACAATAGTGTTGCAACTACAATAAGATCACGCGAAAAGTGTAACAATAGTGTTGCAACTACAATAAGATCACATGAAAAGTGTAATGACAGTGTTGCAACTACAATAAGATCACGCGAAAAGTGTAACAATAGTGTTGCAACTACAATAAGATCACGTAAAAAGTGTAACAATAGTGTTGCAACTACAATAAGATCACATGAAAAGTGTAACAATAGTGTTGCAACTACAATAAGATCACATGAAAAGTGTAACAATAGTGTTGCAACTACAATAAGATCACGCGAAAAGTGTAACAATAGTGTTGCAACTACAATAAGATCACGCGAAAAGTGTAACAATAGTGTTGCAACTACAATAAGATCACGAAAAGTGTAACAATAGTGTTGCAACTACAATAAGATCACGCGAAAAGTGTAACAATAGTGTTGCAACTACAATAAGATCACGTGAAAAGTGTAACAATAGTGTTGCAACTACAATAAGATCACGCGAAAAGTGTAACAATAGTGTTGCAACTACAATAAGATCACGTGAAAAGTGTAACAATAGTGTTGCAACTACAATAAGATCACGCGAAAAGTGTAACAATAGTGTTGCAACTACAATAAGATCACGTGAAAAGTGTAACAATAGTGTTGCAACTACAATAAGATCACGCGAAAAGTGTAACAATAGTGTTGCAACTACAATAAGATCACGCGAAAAGTGTAACAATAGTGTTGCAACTACAATAAGATCACGCGAAAAGTGTAACAATAGTGTTGCAACTACAATAAGATCACATGAAAAGTGTAACAATAGTGTTGCAACTACAATAAGATCACGCGAAAAGTGTAACAATAGTGTTGCAACTACAATAAGATCACGCGAAAAGTGTAACAATAGTGTTGCAACTACAATAAGATCACGCGAAAAGTGTAACAATAGTGTTGCAACTACAATAAGATCACGTGAAAAGTGTAACAATAGTGTTGCAACTACAATAAGATCACGCGAAAAGTGTAACAATAGTGTTGCAACTACAATAAGATCACGTGAAAAGTGTAACAATAGTGTTGCAACTACAATAAGATCACGCGAAAAGTGTAACAATAGTGTTGCAACTACAATAAGATCACATGAAAAGTGTAACAATAGTGTTGCAACTACAATAAGATCACGTGAAAAGTGTAACAATAGTGTTGCAACTACAATAAGATCACGCGAAAAGTGTAACAATAGTGTTGCAACTACAATAAGATCACGCGAAAAGTGTAACAATAGTGTTGCAACTACAATAAGATCACGTGAAAAGTGTAACAATAGTGTTGCAACTACAATAAGATCACACGAAAAGTGTAACAATAGTGTTGCAACTACAATAAGATCACGCGAAAAGTGTAACAATAGTGTTGCAACTACAATAAGATCACGTGAAAAGTGTAACAATAGTGTTGCAACTACAATAAGATCACGCGAAAAGTGTAACAATAGTGTTGCAACTACAATAAGATCACGCGAAAAGTGTAACAATAGTGTTGCAACTACAATAAGATCACGTGAAAAGTGTAACAATAGTGTTGCAACTACAATAAGATCACGCGAAAAGTGTAACAATAGTGTTGCAACTACAATAAGATCACGTGAAAAGTGTAACAATAGTGTTGCAACTACAATAAGATCACGCGAAAAGTGTAACAATAGTGTTGCAACTACAATAAGATCACATGAAAAGTGTCATGACAGTGTTACATTCATTTAATCGCCAAATAATACTTCAATTTTCACAAAATGTTATTTACTTATAAAATTATTTACTGTATCATTTGTCAATGATATTCTTTCTTCGTTTTTTTAAAAATATTACATTTAAAATGTTACAATGAAAGTTAAAAATATATTTCGAAAAGGTCACCAAAAGGTCATTCATATATTCTGATACATTTTCTTTCTTTCTATATTTCACTCACATCTATTCTAATCAATTTCACATTTATCAAATCCATTTAACAATTATTGTTAATACTTCCTTATTTCTACTATATTATAACTCTTACTTTTATATTTGTACCATTTCTCTGGCATCAAAGTACCTAAACAATATTGATAGTATGGTTAATCTCTTAAAAAAAGAAAAAAGATGCAAATTGGTACTACAAAAATGCTTCGAGTAAATAAGCATAACTTTTTTGTTGTGGTAATATTCAAATTAAGTTAGTCAAATTTAATATATTCTGTTTTTTTTTTAATTTTCAAAATTTCTGAAATCAAACATAAAAAGTTATAAATTGGAATAAATTTTAAATTAAAATTTGCAATTCTGTTCCATTATGTAAATTTTTATATTTATTAGTGCTATGTTTATTTTCATTTTACACATTTTTATATTTTATATATGCGTTTGTTTTAATATAAATTTTATTTTCATTTATTTTTTTTTATTTTTATTCATTTTCCATTTTTCATTTTATATATTTCTAAATGTTTTCGCCTTTTTTTATTGAAATACAATTAATATTTCAAAAAAAAAAAAAAAAACAAAACAAAACAAAACAAAAACATATATATATTCTTTAATAATATAATTGAGTACTAATCATGCAAAAGATAGAAAATATTTAAAAGTAAAAATTTAAACAAAATGATTTAAAAATTTCTATTCATTAATTTTGCAATAACATTTTTTTACTGATTGCGAACAAAAAAAAAAAAAAAAAAGGAGGAAAGAAGAAGAAAAGTAGTAAATAAGTAATAATTCATTTTTGTATAAACAATTGTGGCAGTTGAAAAAAGTAAATCGAAAAAAAAAGTGAAATACTTTAAAAGAAAATTTACAAAATTTTTTGTATTTAAAGTAAAAATTAAAAAAATCAAAAAACAAAGGCAAAAAAAAAAGATTTTGATTAATTATGCAAATAACAATTAAAATAAGAATGAAAAAAAAGAATTTTTTTATCACTTCAATTTTTCAATTAATTATTTATTTGATAAGATAAGCATATTTAATGGAGCAAATGTGATTAAAGCAATATTTAATCATTTCTAACTCTCTTTATTAATTAATTAATAAAATAAATGATTATGAAAAATTAATTGGAAAAGTTTATATTTGATGATAATAAAGAATGAAATTAAATTGTTTAAAGTTCATATTAAAGTAAAAAAGAAAAGAGCTGTTAAAGTTAAAGTTTAAAGCAAAATAACTTGTTTTTTTTTTTTTTTTAATTCCCATAATTTTACATCCTATTCATTTGTCAACCAAATTGTCAACCAAATTACATTATTTTAAAAAATTAATTATTATACAATAAATATTGTCATTTGATAAAGTATTTGATTATTTCATTACTTTTATCATACAATCAGTAAATCAATTTTGTTTTAATACTTTTTCTTTTTCAGTTGTTTTACAATAAAATATTAGTACAATTATATTTAATTAATTATTTTCTTTTTATATAATTATTAAAAAACTTTAATTTACCTGTATTCAGGTGTACCAGCAGAATCTGAATAACGAGTTGTGGATATTGTTTCTTCGTATGTTGTTGATTCACTTCGATAACCTGATTCACCAGCTCGTTCGTTGTTTGTTTGTGATAATTGATTTCGATTATTTATGATATTCTCGTAATCACTGAGAAATTCTCGTAATGATCCTGATTTAGACCTAAAAATTTTGATCTATTTTTTATATGCTAAATTTGATCTAAAAAAAAATTAGACTCATTTTTATATGCTAATTTGCGCCTAAACATTTAGGCTTATTTATTTATTTTTTTTTTTAGCTAATTTGGACCTAAAAATTTAGGTTTATTTTTATGTGCTAATTTGTATCAAAAAATTTACACTTATTTTTATATGCTAAATTTGATCCTAAAAATTTAAGTTTATTTTTTGTATGCTAATTTTCATCTAAATTTTAATTAAAATTTTAGGCTCAAGAAAATTTTGATTATATATACACATGCAAAAAATGAAATATTTAATCATAATTTTTAAAGATTATGAAAAATTGAAAATTTTATAATTCTAAAATTTTAATATTTACAAACAAATATTTCTAAAGAGAATTTATGAAAAAAAAAAAATAAAAATTTTTATTTGCTGTTTAGTGAATTGAATAATTTCTAATATATTTTATATAGCACATTTACATCTAAAAAAAAGAAATAAATAGATAAAAAAGAAAATTTTAACAATCAAAAAGTAATATAAATTCATTTATTAGTATATACAAATTTTATAAATTAATTTCAAAAAACTAATATTATAATTTATAAATTTTAATGAAAACAAGCAGAAATTTTTGTTAATCAAAATTTACGCTATTGTTAAATTGAAAAAAAAAATTTTTTTTTTTTTCAAATACTAAAAAAATTCAAAATGAAATAATAATTTTTGCTAATATATAATTTTTTCAATAAATACAATTAAAAAGTTTTGCTAATTTACAAAAATATTTTAGTCAAATATTTTTATTAAAATCAATAATAAATAATAAATAAAAATCAAATTAATAATTAAATCATGAATGTACTTGAATGCAGTATAATTCGAGAATATTTTAAAATATTAATTGCTTTTAAAAATAAGCAAAATATTTGTTTTATTAACAATTATAGTCATTTTTAATTTATTTATTAAAGTGATATGTAATATCAATTTAATGTTATCATAAATAATATCAATTTAATGTTATCATAAGTGATATCAATTTAATGTTATCATAAGTAATATCAATTTAATGTTATCATGAGCAATATCACATTTCTCTATAATTTATCCATATAACAATTTGATTTAATTAACTTAATATAAAAGATATAAATTAAGAAATAATTTACCAGATGTTATCATCTGTAATACTATCTTCGTTCTTATCATTATCATCAATACTATCAATATTTTCATCGATATCACTGCTGCCATTATCACATTCCTCAATTGAGGCTATGAAATTATTCAAATAAATATTAAACAATCGATGAATTTCGATTGATAATCGAAGACCCATTCTTTTCTTTTTCCTTTTCCTATCACTGATTCATTCTTATCATCATAGTGATAACATTATCAGAGTGTAATTTAAGCATTAATTAATTATCACAGTAGTAAGTAGTAGTAATTTAATTGATTTCAGCAAACAATCAATAAAAATTTTTTTTTTAATAAATTGAATAATCAATTGTAAATTAAACAATTACTATAATGTGGTGCATTTCGAATGGAATTTTTTTACGAAGAATTTTCATTTGAATAAATTTCATAGAAATAAATGTTTGAAAAAATAAATTACAGTAACAGAGTGATAAAAAATTATGTGAAATGCAGTTAAAATACAGTTTAGAATGATGTAAAAATAATTATTAATGAACAAATAAGGTGGAGCATAAAAATTTAATGAAAAAAAAAAAAGTTTCGTTCTTTTCGTTTTTTTCTTCATTTTTTTTGAAAAAAAAAATATTTTAAATTTGAAATTATAGCAATGAAATGAAATGAATGAAATGAAATGAAATGAATGAAATGAAATGAAATGAAATGAAATGAAATGAAATGAAATGAATTGAATTGAATTGACTAAATTAATCAAGAAAAGATTACAATATGAAATGATAAATTAGTAATGTAATTTGTAACAATGATTCATTTTATTTTTTTTTTCATCATCCTTTTTGCATTTAATTTAATTTCCATGTCATATTTGTTTATTTTTTAAATTCATTCTTCTAAATTATTTTATAAAAATTTTTATATTTTTCGAAATTTGTACCGTTTAATATTCAAATTTGATAATTAATATTTGATCATTTCATTCTATTCTACCAATTATTGCATTAATTATTTTGTTTTTTACTGTGTTAAAAAAAAGAGTTAAATAATATAATTAAAATTTAAATTAATTGAAATCAATTATTAACTGTGTATTTATTCATTAAAACATATTAGAATAAATTATTTTTTAAAAATCATTTGTAAATAAATTTTATTTCTAACATATTCATAAATTTCATTTCTTTATTTATTTATATATTGTTCGTAAATATGATTTAAATTTTAATATTAGTATGTAAATTTGCATCAAATATTTTTTGATCTTTTCATTTTTAAGAAATTATTCTAATAAATATTGAAACAAAAAAAAAAATATTTTCCATTTCTGCTATAAAAATAAAATTTATACAATTTTATTTTAAAAAAATTATTTTATTACAAAATTTCAAAAATTTCAATTACCTACTGATACCTGGTATTTTTGTAATTAGATTTGCAATTAGATTAAAGTAAGCACCGATTGATCAATCAATAAATCAATCAATCAATCCCTTTTTTTTTGCAGATCATTCGCTTAACAGAGATCAATTTTAGATCACAAATGATATAATTTTATTCAAATTTAAGTGATTCATAATTTTTTGCTTTTTCTTTTAACTGTCTGAAAATTTATGGATAATGAAAAAAAAAAAGAAAATTTAGTAAACAATAAATTTTGTTGATAACAAATAAAAGAAAATTTTTATATATTTTTCAAAATATGACATTAAATTATAAAGTTGTAACAAAAATATTGAAATTTTTTCTAATCAAATCATTTAATCACTAATGTAAATGAGAAAAGCATAGTGATATGATAAGGTTAACATTTGATTACATTTAATAAATAAAATAAAATTTCATTTTCTTCCTCCCTTTTTTTTTTTTTTAAAATTTAAGCAACAATAATGATATGATAATGATATCTTCCATTAGTGAGTAAAATCTTTCTACGTTTATCATTTATCACTTTCCTTTCAATTTTTTCATATTTTTTTATCTAAAATTTCTACTATGAATTTTTAAGGTAATGATAACTGATAAGATAAAAGTGATAAGATTTTTTTTTTTGAATTATTTGAAAATGACTAAACTTTATTTAAAAATATTTAAACCAATTGAAACATCGTTTTTTTTTCTTAAACTATTTGATTTTTTAAATTAAAAAATTTGTTAAATTATTTAAAAAAAAAAAAAAGAAAGAAAAAAGCTTATTTAAAATAGATTGAAAAGGATTGTTTTTACCCAATTGTGAAAATTTGCAAATAGTTTATGAAATGAATTCGAGGTGTGTTACAGAATTTAAATTATCGATTGGATAAAGAGGTGACAAAGTGGTGACAAAGAGATGAAAACTGGAAATAATTCAAAAGTGGTTGAAAGCAAATGACAAAATAATAATTTTGCAATGAAATAAACAAAAAACTGTATGCTTTTTTAGATAAATATTTTGACGTTACTTACGTTTTACTTAAGTGAAATTTTTTTATTTTTCTTTTATTATTTCATTTCTAAAAAAAAAAGTTATCAAAAAAAGGAAAAAAAAAATGATCAAAAATTAAAAAAATTCATCGTTTCAGCCAAAATATTTGCCAGAATGGATGAGTTTATAAATTCAAGTGGCAATTTGTAAAATTTAAATCAATAAAATTTGAATAAAAATGAATGAAAATATTTTAAAATTATCCATGTGATTACAGTTATTTATATTTCATTTTAAGTCAATATTATTTATCAAAATTTATAAATTTATTAAATTAGTATTAAAATTTAAATATGTGTCAGTGACATAAATTATTTATTGTTATTTTTTCATAATAACTTTTGCCATATATTTAATTTAAATTGCATATTGTTATGATACACACATATTGTAAACATATATCATATGATTGTGTAATGTTTGTTATAATTATTTATTTATTATTATTGTTATTATTATCATTACCGTTATTATTAGAATTTATTAATCATTATTTTTTTCATCATTTGTTTATTATTATTGTCATTATAGTTATTATTATTATTATTTATTTATCATTGTTATTATTGTTATTATTACTTGTTTATCATTATTATTATTGTTATTATTATTACTTGTTTATCACTTTTATTATTGTTATTATTATTACTTGTTTATCATTATTATTATTATTGCTATTATTATTACTTGTTTATCATTATCATTATTGTCATTGTTATTATTATTATTACTTGTTTATTATTATTGTTATTGTTATTATTATCATTGATTGCATATAATTACACATATATCACATGTTTTCCAGTAAATAAATTTTTATGTGCTATTTATATGTTATACAAATTACACTTATATTATATATTTAATTTTTCTTATTTATTATAAAAATTCGCAATGTAAATTATTTATTACTACGTTTATTATTATTATTATTATTATTATTATTATTATTATTATTATTATTATTATTATTATTATTAATTTTTTATTATCATTATTAATTAATAACATATATATTAGTAAATTATTTATTATTAATGAGCATTCCTATTCTATATATGACAATTTTTCATTTCAATTTAAAATTCAATTTATCCTTTTTTTCTTCTTTTCAATTTATAATGAAAACTTTGATGCACCAACCTTATATGTGTCCGTTTTCCATCATTTTCCACTATATTTCGATAATTTTCATTAATTTGATATCCCATACGATCACTGCTACCTGATGATATCCATTGATCGTTCATATATTCACGTCGTCGCTCTTCACGTTGTCTCTCTTCACGTTGCTCACGGTAACGTTCACGTAACTCTCTTTGTTGTACGTGTTCATCGATTATTTTTGGCTCACAATGTACTTTAATTGGTCTTCCCTAAAAAATTTTTTCTTTTCTTTTTTTTTTAAAGAAAAAGAAAAAATGGAAATAAAAGTATAATTAATTAGTATTATTTATTAATTTTATAGAATATATTCCATTTCTAAAATATACCATTTAATTTTAATATTTAAATTATTTTTTCAATGTATATATATGATTTAAATTTTATGATTTGAAATGATGAAAAAAAAAAAATTGAATAAACAAAACATAGTGTGATGAAGTGGAATCATCAAGGATTGTTTCAACAGCCATTGAGATCTGAAATTTTAATTCAAATTAATTTTTGATAATATTTATTTACACAAAAAATAAACATAATTTTTTTTTTTGACCAAAATGATTTATGTCAGAAATAATTTCAAATTTCTAAACAATTTACATTTCCTAAAGTTTTCATTTTTAAATTTCAAAAAAAATTTTTTTTTTTGAGATTTTTTTAATTTTAGGCATTGTTTCATTGTTTACATTCTGCTTAAATTTAAATAATAACTCAATTTAGTTTTTCTTTTCCTGAAAACTTATTTCAAATGCTTCAAAAAAATGAAAAAGATTTTTTATTAAAATAGTTAATTTTTTGATTAGAGAAACAAGAATGAGTTATAAAAATGAAAATTTTAGCTCATATTTTAAAAAATTTTAATCTTTGACACCAAGTATATTTTAGTTTTGTAATACTAAAATTAAATATGAAATCAATTCGAATAATTATAAATTCTAAATTAGATATTGAAAAAAACAAAAAACAAACAAACAAAAGGAATAACTGAAATGAAAAAGTAATTTAATAAAAAAATTATCATTGATTAATGAAGAAGATAATTCTTATGATATTTCGTTTCACTTTTAAACTATTAATTAAATTAAATTAATAAATTTCAATCTTTTCATTAAACAAAAAAAAAATTAACAATTCATTAAATTCTAGAAAGCATTTGAATTTTTGATGTGATAAAATAATTTTTATGTTATACTGAAAATTTGAAATGAAAACAATTCCATTTCATTGATAAACATTAAATATTTAATGCTAACTTTTTTTAAACAACAATAATTTCAAATTTATGATTATTTGATTTAAAGTAATATATATGTATAATTAATAATTATAATAATTTAAAATAATATATATATTTATATATAATTAATTATAATAATAATTAAGTTTTACAAAATTATTTGAAATATTTTTTCCATTTCCTAAAAGGAATAATTCAAAAAATTGAAAATTAAAAGAGAAAAAGATAAAGAAATAAAAATTTAATATTGGAAAAAAAAAAGGTTCAAAATTTTTGAACTTAAAATTGGTTTATTTTAATACCAAATCATATTGATAAACCTCGACTTGCATATATCCTCCTCCTCCTCCTCTGCTATTGTCACTATCATTGACACATTTATCATAATCTTGTCTTATCTAAAATTATATTACATTTTTATTAATCTAATAAATTTATTAATTTTATTAACAACGTAAAATTTAAAATTTTTTATTTTATTTTTGTAAAAAAGAAAAAAAATTTTTTTTTAAATTGTTCAAACTATTAAAAACATTTTAAAAATTCAAAAATTTTGCACACAATTTCAAATTTAACAAAAAAGTAATTTCTTTTTTTCAATTTAATTTATAACAATCAAATTAGATAAATAATTGAAATGTAAATTTTGCTAAGGGATTTGAAGAGAAAATTAGCTAAAGGTGAAAGTTCACAAATGCAAAATATAAAATTGAAAATGACTTTAACTTCTTTTTTTTTTTGAACCTTTTTGAATTTTGGATTAAAAAAAAAAAGATTATAAATAATAAGTATCCGTCGAAAGACAAATTACAATTTGAATAGAAATCTATTAAATTTTAACTAATCAATTTTTAAAATAGAACAAACGATAAAAGCATTGAATAAATGAAAATTCAAATTATTCGCATTTATCAAATATATTGCAATTAATTTAGGTTAATATTTTTGCAATTCAGTAATTAAATTTAAAAATTTTTTTTTATTTTTTTTGTAATTGCTACATTAAAGTAATTTTGGTAGTATTTAAAAATATGAAACTTTTTTTTTCCTTTTAAAATTGAAAAAATTTTAATTTCTTTTTTTTCTAATTATCAATTTTTGTTAATATTTTTGTAATTAATAGTAATTTAACGAATAGATTTAAAATGAATCAAATAAATAAATGCTAACTTCAGTTCGTTCAACAACCATACGATTGCGAGTTCGAGATTGCGAGCGCTGTTGTCCACTATGCGCCACAGGTGTTAAATTTGAAAATGATTCCGATTCTAACCGATGTGGCATCGTTCGATCTAAATACAAAAAAAAAAAAAACAGGTCAACAATTTCAAAAATAATTTAATTTCAAAAATTTATACATATTTTTTTTTAATACTTATTGTATCATAAATATTTACTAATGACTAATAGCTTTTGAACTAACAGAAAAATTATCATAAAATTATTAATCTTAAAAAAACTGTCGTTTTTTAGTGTTTAAAATAAATTATACAAAAAATTTCTTTTTAATATTTTTTCTTTTTTTTTTGTTATTTTTGATATAACAAATATTAAGTTTATTTAACATCCAAAAGTAATACTAAAAAAAAAGGAAAAAAAAAAGAGTAAACCAAAAAGTTTTAGAATGAAATTAGTAATTTAATATATGTATTACAATAAAATATTTATTCAATTTTAAAAAAGAAAAAAATTATGAAATGATTTCTTTTTTTTTTTTCAAAAATTACAATTTAATTTTAAAAATTCGAAAAAAAAACAAATTTATTATTTAATTTTTAACACTTTCAGCTCATCTTTTTTTTTTCTTTAACATTCCTTTCATTTCATAAATTTCTTTTTTTTTTTTTTTGAAACTGTCATTTTTATTAAAAAAAAAAAATGAAAAAATGAAAATGATTTGTATAATTTTTAACAAATTTAAATCATTCGTTTTCCGCAAAAAAAAAAAAATTCAAAAATAGTTGAACGTTCAAAAATGATGTCAGAATTCTGTTGAAATAGAATGATGACACAATTATTTTAGCTAAAATATTAATATTAGAATCGATGGATCAATGGATCAATAAATCGATTGATCGATTGATCAATCAGATTGAATTTCAAATTACAAAAGCAAATAATTGAAGAGAGAGGAAGAGCAAAAAAAAAAAAAACGAAAAAAAAGAAAAGAAAACTAGCAATATTTTAACAAATTATAAGCAATAAAATAGTCTTATTCAGAAAAAGCAAGAAAAAAGAAAGGGGAAGAGAAAAAAAGAACAGAGAATAGTATAAAAGTATGAATATGAAATGATTATGAAAAGTTTGTTTTTTGAAAAAAATTTTTGTATGAATTGCATTTGCTTCTTTCTTTTCTTTTTTGCTTCCAAGAATTTTCATTTCAAAAAAATTATTCATTGAGTGATGAATCATTCATTTAAAAATCAATTTCAATTTGCCAAAATAAAAATCAAATATACGAGAAAGTTTTAAAAAAAAAAAAAAAAAGAAGGTAGAAATTACTAATTTATTTTTATTTTTCAAAGTTTATTTATCATTGATTAATAAAAAATTTTATTTTGATAGATAATTTCAAAAAGTAAAAAATAAAATAACATTTTGGTTTGGTTTGCAAAAACAAAAAAGAAAGAAAATTGAAATTTGCAAATTTCTTTTTTTTTTTCGCAATAAATTAAATAAGAGTTTTGCCACTGATAAAATTCAAATTTTAAAAATTTTTAAAATTTGCAACAAAAAGCATTTCGTTGTCAAAGTGAAAGAAATAATAACCAAAAATTGTCATTTAGTTTTTTTTTTTTTTTTATTTGTTTTTTAATTTATATTACATTAAAAGTTTATAAAACGATAATATATAATATTCTATGGGAAAAAAAATATTTTAATAAATTAAAAATTTTTAAGCAATTTCTCTTTTTTTTTCTTTAATTTAATAAATAAACAAATAATTGTCAATAGAATGTCAAAAAAAAATCACAAATTTTTTTTTTTAGTATTTCAATCATTATAATATCTGGTAGAAAGGTTACCAAAGTAGGACAAAATTCTTAAAATTATTCAAATTAAAAAAAAAAAAAAAAGAAATTTTTGTAGTTCTAATAAGAACCATAAATGGTAGTAGTTAATTTTCTTTTGTCAATTTCTCATAAATGTACCATTTTCTGGCATAGTTTTTTTGATTACTTCGAGAAAATTGGATGCAATTCTCGACCGATTTATTTATTTAATTCTAAAAATTAATAAAATATTAAATAGTAAATCGATTTGTTTCGATTTATTTATTTAATTAAGTAATTGCTTTTTTTATTTAATTCGATTTATTTAATTAATTTTATTTTTTTATTCATTTATTCGATTTATTTAATTTGTTTTTTTTTTTATTAATTCTAAAAATATTAATTAAAAATACTAAAAATATTAGTTGCTAAATTATTTCTTTCAATTTCTAACTAATTTTTAATTTTATCTCATCTAAGCTATTTATTAAAAAAATTTATTAGCAAAAGATAGTAATTATAAACTTTTAAATTTTTAAATTATTATTACTTAAAGAAAATTTTAATACTACATCTCAAATCAAACTTTACAACTGTAATTTTCTTTTTTCTTCTTTATTGCCTTTATAAATCCTAAAATGATTGACAAATTGCTATTACAAAATTTATTTTCTGTATCTGAAATTGAAAACTTATTAAATATATCAGAAATGAAAAAAGAAATAACAAATTTGACATTTTTCAATAAATAATTGTAAATTTTTTTTTTTTTTAGATTTTATTACGAAGTTACAAAACAAAGAAAAAAATATGAATAAAATATAAAAAAAAAGTCATTTTTTTCTAATTACTATGGAAATAATTTTATTTATACTTAATTTATTCCGGATAACATTGTCTGAAAGGATTAGTTCAATTTTTTCGGAATTTGCTGAAAGCATTTCCGTTTCATTCAAGCGAGGAAGTTTTTTTTTGCCTCCGTAATTCCGATTAATTTTTGTCTGAATAATAACAAAATTGAATTCCGTCATAAATTTTGAATATGCTTTGGAAATTTCTAGTGCAACCGGAAGAGCAATGATTTGATCGATTAAATCAATAAATATTGAAAAAAGAATGATCGGTGAAGAATGTCACATGCAAAGTAAACAATTATTTGATTGTATGTTTCAAATTGATTGAATCGGAAATTGCCGGAAAAAAAAGCGGAAAAAACCGAAAAAAGTAAAAGACTGAATGCTGCTAATCAAGTAAGCATAATGTAATATAAACCGGAAAAACTTATAAATTGGTTACTAGCATTTTATGAATTCAAATTAAATTAATTTAATAAAACATTTCTATCTTTCATATATGACAAAAAAATAAAATTTATTTTTGCATAATTTAATTAAAACTAAAAATTGCAAACGAAATTGTTTTAACTAAAAATTTCTCCGAAGTAATCAATACTGCATGCAATAGAAGCAAAAGAATAAAAATAATGAAATAATAATAATAATTGATAATAATAATAGTAATTGATATAATATAATTATTATCAATTATTATTATTAATAATAATAATAAAAATTGATAATAATAATAATTATAATCAATAGTATTAATAATAATAATAATAATAATAATAATAATAATAATAATTGATAATAATAATAATAATTGATAATAATAATAATAATTGATAATAATAATAATAATAATTGATAATTAATAATAATAATAATTAATAATAATAATAGTAATTGATAATATTAGTAATAATAATAATAATTGATAATAATAATAATAATTGATAATAATAATAATAGTAATTGATATTATTATTAATAATAATAATAATTGATAATAATAATAATAATAATTGATAATAATATTAATAATAATAATAATTGATAATAATAATAATTGATAATAATAATAGTAATTGATAATATTAGTAATAATAATAATAATTGATAATAATAATAGTAATAATAATAATAATAATAATAATTGATAATAATAATAATAATAGTAATTGATAATAATAGTAATAATAATAATAATTGATAATGATAATAATGAATAACAAATAAATAATTAAAAAACAAATGATAATAAATTAATAAATAATAATTGTGTAATAAATAGCAGAGAAAATGACAGAATTCCAAATAGATTAAAAAGTAAACAAAATTAACAATCAATTGTTCATATGATAAAATGTTATTGGCTTATTTTCTTATCATATCAAAGCAAATCTTCTCTTATCAGTAAATTTATGTACGACTAGTTGGTATCAACAAATTCCATTATTCTATCTATGAAAAGTTCAATGATTTTATTGGCTGCAAAAATTATAACATTAATTAATACTTTTTTTTTAGATTTCAAATTTTTAACATTAAATTTTTTTTTTTTTTTAATCTAACAAATGTTAAAATTAAATGTTTTATATTTCTTTTTTTTTAAAATTTTTTTTTAATCTTAATTTAATTTTTTTTTATAAATTTTTTGATCCTTCAATCTAATATATGTTTTATAGTCAAAGTTTTTATAAAATATTACATTTCATATAATATAAACTTATTCCAAATGTAAATTTCATGAAATTCTCATTTTTCTTTTTTTTTTGATTAAATATTTAATTTTTAATTTTAATTATCAGATTTAATCCTTCAAAAATTTGCCTACTAAAATGAAATTATTCAAAGCAATGAATGTAATTTTGAAAAAATGTAACAAATTTTAAATTTTACAATCATTTCTACAGAATAGAAAAAAAAAGAAAGAAAAAGAAATTAGAATAAAAGATTTGTTTTGCAATTATTATTTTAAAATTATTTTAAACCATTTTTTTAAAAAATAAAATTTATTTTAAAGTTAAAATTTGTCACCAAATTAAAAAAAAAAAATAGAAATATTACAAATAAAAAATAAATCCATTGGTAAAATATAATTTAACGATTTATTTGCTACTTTGACATCTCTTTTCTCCTTTTTTTTTCCTTTTTAGTATAACTACAAAATGCATACTATCATTTCGAGTTAATCTGCAAAAATCGGATTAAAATTTTTTTTTTTTCATTTTTAATATTTCTAAAAAATTACAACCATAAATGATTTATAAATATTTTACGACCAAATATCATCAATTAAGTTTAAAATTTTCAATTTTTTCTTTTAAAAAAAAAGGAAAAAAAATGGAAGCAATTAGTATTTTTTGACGAAAAAAACAGAAAGTTTTTTCATTTTAATGAAATTATTATCAAAAATTTAAATAACACAAAATTCGAATCAAAAAAAAAG